CTAATTTATGTTCTTGTAGGTGCCACTACTGGAGTTACTCAGCAAACTCTGAAACAGCTGAAAATAACTTATACAGATGATGTGCACCTTATCTGTGCATGTAACGTTAAAAGACAGTGCATCATTTAAATTGATTTGCTTAACTTTTTAGCTAGAAAATCTAATGCAAAATACATGAGCTTAGTCATAGTAATCCAACAGATCTGGAACTGGAACAATCTTAGCCTGGAAGCTACATCACAGGAATTGCATTTCCTGTTAGCAACTGCTGTATCTTAAAAAAATTCATAACACTTATTTTAAATAAGTGTATTAATTGAATAAGAAGTTATTTTTTTCTTTGCTTTTTTTTTTTAATATTATTTTATTGTTTTGTTGGGTTTTTTTACATGAGAGCAAAGGATTGCAAAGTTGACATTTTGGGGAGTTTTATTATGCAGTTTTACAGCACTGGAAGATACGACGTGCCTTCAGGACTATGAGGGAAATAAGCTCCGAGGTCTTGTATCTTTAGATAACCTTCAACAGTTGCAGTGACAACAGTTGCTGCTGTTGTCAGCAATCTGCAAATTTATTTATTTTTTTGCATTTGACATATTGAATTTTAAATCATAGGATGGTTAAGGTTGGAAAGGACCTTAGGATCTTAGGAACCTGGACATCAGGTTCCACCCCCCCTGCTATGATCAGGGACACCTGCCACTAGACCAGACTGCACAAGCCTCATCCAACCTGGCCTTGAACACCCCCAGGGAGGAGCAGCCACAATCTCCCTGGGCAACCTGTTTCAGTGCCTTACTGCCCTCATGGGGAAGAATTTCTTCGTGATGTCTAACCTAAATCTCCCCTCTTTCAGTTTAAAACCATTACCCTTTGTCCTATCACTGCCCTCTTTGGTGAAAAGTCCCTCCTCATCTTTCCTGTAGTCACTTCAAGTACTGGAAGGCCACTATAAGGTGTCTCAGCAGCCTTCTCTTCAGGCTGAGCAGCCCCAACTCTCACAGCCTGTCTTTGTAGCAGAGGTGCTCCAGCCCTTGAATCATCTTCCTGGTCCTTCTCTGGATCCACTCCAACAGCTCCATGTGTTTCCTGTGCTGAGGGCTCCAGAGCTGTATGCAGTACAGAATACACAGAAAATACAGAAGACCTACTACAGGAATCTGCTGGGAAATGGAAGCAGCTGTTGCTTTGCAGTTCCCCTGTGTCCAGTGACCCTGCTAGCTTGGTGACAAGCTTGCTACCCTTATGGGGAGCATCTGCTCAGGCTGGGATAACAGACAGCCACAGTTCTCTCCTGCTCATTGATAATTAGCTGCAGAATTGCAGTTGATGAGGTGTGTATGGGTCCTTTCTATAGGTGTGGTGATAATTCTGTTGAATACACTCAGGTGACTTGAAGAAGTCTCATGCATACTGTTGGCTTCTGAAAAAAGGTGTGCATTTACTGCCTCCGGGAGGTGCACACCTTGGTGTGTTCCAGTGCTTGCCTCTTGCACAGCTGATCCCAGGCAGACAAGGCTTTTTTAAAGGAATTGTTCCTAGAAAGTGTGTTCTCTATAGCAGCAAAGCCTGCAAATAGTAACCTTGAATTGTACTGAAATTTTGCACTCTTTGCTTCCAGACCAAAGCTGCTGTTCATTCTGTGCATGTGGATGGCAAAGGCTACCCTCCAGTTTCAAGAGGACTGCTGGAGAAAGCGGGTTCAGCTCTTCAGAATGAACTTAAGTCTTCTTTTAGACACTCTACGTTTTATAAGGCACTCATAAAAACCAAAGGATATAATCTGCCCTGTGATGTGGTACTGCACATTGTATGGCCCCAACACCAGCACAGAGTGTTAGTGTGCGAGGTGATGATCAGTTAGATTGGACTTGAATTCATTTTCATGTTGGGTGATGTGAGGACTAAAATACTGTGTTGTTTTTTTTTTCCTGCAGGAATTAAAAGCTGCAATGACAAGATGCTTGGATTCTTTAAGGGAATTGCAATGTTCCTCAGTTTCTTTTCCAGCAATAGGGATTTGGTCGGAAACGTTGTGTGCTGGGATAGTGGCACAGATCATGGTTGAAGAGGTTTTAAATTTTGCCAGGGCATACCCTGAGATGGAGATGAACGTGCAGTTTGTCATTGGCCCAAATGATTATGATATCTATCAGGTAACAAATTTGTTGTTAGCTACCAGTAAGGAAAACCCAAAATGTAAAATGTTCCCATACATGACTACAAATTAAGATAATTTGGATTCTGTACTTACAGCACTTGTGAGCAGCCTGGCAGGTCCCCCTCATAAAACTATTTGTTTCATTAACAGGTATTATTAATCTATACAGATCTTTATTTTCTCTTCCCTAAACCAGAAGTCTTCACCCTGTGGTCTGGTAACAAGGGAAGGGAGTTCTGAAATGCTCATGATTGTCAGTGGATTTATAAGAAAAGTCTACTCTTAACTCATTATGGAATAAACTTATTCCTCCTCAGGAAACTTCTTTAACCAATGTTTTGGTAGGAGGTTTGTAGAGCAAAACACTATCAACATATTATATAACCTAACATTATAGAAGGGAAACAGGCAGTGGATAATTTCAACTGCAGTCTGCCATTTTCCACCTTTTGAGTATGTGGGTGATGTGATTAATAAGCAATTATTTTAGATAGCCATCTATTGTAAATTCAGAGTTTGCTTTTCTTCCCATTTAACTTCAGCCATCCATTGTTTCAACAAGTGCAAGAACTAGGTGGAGAGGGGGTGGAACTAGATGATCTTTAAGGTCCCTTCCAATCCAAATCATTCCATGTTTCTAAGCTCAGAGCTGTGTCCTGTAACAGTCCCATAAACTCTAGAGGAAGCTGTATGGCACCTATGTGCTCATCACTTAATCCCTTGATTATGAGAATGCAGCAGAAACTTTGCTAAAAAAAAAAAGAAGGCAATTTGTCAGATGCCAGATCCACTGCCTAGCAGAGTAGCTCTTCTCTGAGGCTTTCCATGTGCCATCATTAAGAGGAGATTTGGGGCAAAGGCAGGAGAATAGTCTGGGGTTTAAAACTGAGTAAGGATTCATCAGCATTAAACTGCAAGAAATGAGCACCTTTGTCAACTGAGTTTCTGTGAGTTCTGGGTATGCTACAACCACAACAAACTGGTGAAGGTGCCACGCAGTGTGTAAGGTGTCTTGCCTTAGGAGATACAGAAGAACAGGAATGCATTTGTTATTGTTAGGAATAAAATTTTGGGAAAAGCTGACAAATGTCAGCTGTCAACCATTTCAGAATTTGGGGGGTGGTGGTGTAACTACAGCTGTAAACTGCTTATCTAATAGAGTTTTGAAGAGATGAATTGCGTTTTTGACAAAATATATCGCAAACTAAAATCCTAAACTTTTCTCATTCCAGATTTTCCAGAGACAGTTTATTTCAGCAGCACAAAAACTGGAAGAAATGACATCTTACAAGATAAGTGATCACTTGAGTAAGTAATTAACAGAAGGGGCATATCAAGTAACTGAGCACTTCAGATCTGAGAATCTGAAATGACATTCCTTTTAAAAGAACTTAGTACTTGAATGTGTGTCTTTGGGAAAGGGGGAGGCAAAAATGTCTGAGCACTTTGCTTTTTTACATTCATAGGAATGGAACTGGGCAGTCCCTTCTAAAATTTTCCAACACAAAAAGCATCATCATTGCCTAACTTGCTGGAAGTTATTTAGTGGAAGGCAAATAAATTTTGCACATGTGTGAGATTGTTTTTTTTTCCTGGAAACCTTCCCACCTGGCATTTTTGGGTTAAATACAGGAATTTATGACAGCTCTTGAAAGCTTTTCACTCTTCCAGTGCACTTGCATTGAAAAATAAATAAACAAATCTTACTTCTAGGTGCAGAGTCAGGCAGTAAAAGAGTAGAAGAGACTGCAAATACCAAATCAGCTATCGAACTTAAAGGGAACACACGTACAGCAATGGAAGCAGCAGAATCATGGATCCAAAGTGTGCTACGAATTCAGGAAAGTCACTGTGCTGTTATTGAAAACAACTACATTTTTAGCTTTGGTAGAAGTGAGTTTGCAGAACTGTCTCAGAAGCAGTATTCTAGTGTGTGCATATCACAAAAAGTGCAAGATGGAAAAGCAAGACTGGAATTTCAGGGCCCTCCTGGTGCTGTGATTGATGCAGTGCTCACCACTGAAAAATTACTGCTTCGTATGCAGGACGAGACTGCAGCCCAACAAGAGGAACTGCTGAAACTAATATGTATGTAAATTACTAAGTAAATAAGTGCATAAATAAGGTTAAATATGAAGCAACATGTATCTGCATTGCTGAGAGTGGACAGACATGCATTCAGTTCAGACATACTGAGCATTGCTTTAATTACTGACACTGCTCTACTTTTAACATGCAAGCCCCTTGAAAGACCATTTGTGAGTTCTGGTTGCTGAGTTGGCAATATCCCCAGTGGGGCACAGTTTATACAGGGGCTGCCACTGTTGTACAGCCAGTTGTGATTCTGGCTTCCTCCAGGACAGCTTCATGTCAGAGCCTGGCCACTGGAGACATAAACTCTGCACTTAATTAACACATACCTTTGCTGAGCTCTTTTGCTCAGTACTGCTGGACCACTGCTGCAGAACCCACTCATGGCCTTGTTCTGCAGAGTCCGTGACTTCCATTAACAGTTGATAGAACTAGTGGAACTGCAAAAAGCTCCAGTGATCTGTTTGTCCTCATGTTTAGTCATTCAGTAGAGATACCACTATATGGAAGTCATGCTGTGGAGAGATGTAATGGAGGAGATTGCTTTTCTTTGGTTCCTTATCTCTGTGGTTTTAATAAATGTAGCAATTATTTATTAATTTTCCCTCTCAACATTACCCTATGACATTACTTCAGAGAATATTTACCATTCTTTGTTCTTAACTGAACTACCAAACTAAAGTACTGGATCCCTCCTCCTTACCTTTACCTCAAATATTATGAGATATGAAAATTTTACTCCCTTATTTGTATCCAGGCAAACCAGAAACAGGTCAGCTTTCAGGACACCTTCACAAGAAAATTACTATTGAAGACATCCAGATTTCACTGGTGGAATCACACCTGCAGGAGTTTAAAGACAGACAAAAACAGTTTGAAAAAGCTGGGCTTCGTGTTCTCAAGGTAAAGAGGGTATTAATGGAAAAACTAAATCTCAGCTAATATATTTCAACTAACATGTTTAACATATGCTTAAAAAATTCAGAGGAACTATCTCACTCTGTTGCTCTTAAAAATTAAGATCAAGTCAGCCTAATCCTTAAAATAGATGTAGTCTTTACTCCTACTTAAAAGTATTTTCAACATAATGCAAAGAATCACTAAAAATGTGTGGTTAAATTCTAGGAAGTCCAGTTAACTGTGTATTCTGTCTCTTACTTCATCCTTCAGATGTTCCTTTATAGGACTCTAGAGAAATGTGAGATCAGTATGAGTACAGTATTCCAGGACAGTAATGCAGTGTCTGTTTTCTTTTTGTGAGCTTGATAGCAAAAATTAGCAACTGAATTTGTCAGAATTACAATCTGATTAGTAGTGTGTTGAAACTGGGGTCTTGCTTTGGTATCAGCACTTGACTGAAGGGGAGGAGGAGGAGGCTGTGCAACATGGAGAAATACACAAGTTTGGAACCAGGGATTCGAGTGCCTAGTGGTAACAGTGGTTACCGGGAAACCCCACTGCCCTATGCCAGCCTGCCCTTTGTACCAGAAGGGATTTAGCAGTGAAGGAACAGAAAGTACCAGCCAGGGGAAAGCAAGTGCTTCCTGAGCTGCAGAACTAAAGATGTCATTGAATCTCAGTGCAAAAGCTACATCAGAATTTAAAACAGTGCTGCACATGAGGATTTGTCGTAGCTCAGTGAAATGACTTTAAAGAAAGCAGAAGCTCAATGGGGCTTCAGCACCTGCTTGTTTTTAGCTCAACTGTCAGAACTCTGGCATGAGTGGGTGACTGGAGACCTTGCAGACCCCTGGTACTTCCTTTTGCTGTAGGGCTGTGACTGGCTTGCTGGTAGAATCAAGTGTGCCAGCGAGAGCTGCAGCATGGCCAGTTCACCTGAAGTTGTGTGTGGTGTTAGGCTGCAGCAGCCACACAAGCTGATGCAGAGGCTCTCTGATCTACAGACCTGTTCTTCCCCAGGGGCTGTGAATTTTTGATCAAGGAGAACTAAGGTTCCCCATGCCTTACAGGACACTTGCAGTTCTTCACAAGATCAAGCTAAGGACCCACAAAGGTTACTGTCATGTATGGTTGATAGGCAATCTGTTCAGCACAACCCGAGTACTGGAAATTAGTACACTAGGATTTATTCCCAGTGATTTCAATGAGAAGCAAAAGAAAGAGCAGCATGGCTCTTTCTGTGGAACAGCTGCACACTCCACATAGCTTATCTGCTACATGGTCAATATATATAAGCTAAATCAGAGGTTCTTACACTGAAGAACAGCCTGAACCAGAGTTCTCATGGATTTCATGGATATTGGTCTCTGCTTATACTACACTATTATTTATGTTACAGATTGAAAAGATAAATAATCCTCTTTTATCTGCTGCATTCCAACAAATGAAAAAAACAGCAGAAGAAAAACATGGTACCTCCAAAATAAGCCACAAGTTGTATCAGCGTGTTCCTCCTCAGTTCTTGACCTCAGTGTGCCTAACTGGATTTCACAGGATGTATTCTCCACCAACAGGTAATAACTTGCTTGGGCATCTTTAATCAAAATGAACAGTGGCCAACTGCTAAAGTTGGATTAAAATCACAGAAAATTACATTCCTAAACAGAAAATGGCATTCCTAAACAACAACTGTTTCTTACTTGTGTTTAGTGTCATATGAACTTAATTTTTTATCAACAGTAAGGTTTTCCTGGTTTTCCTTCCTGATACTGTAGTCAGAAGGGCTCTGAGAGGATAAGCCTGGATTCTAGCCTAGCCCAGACACTGTTGACAGAATTGCTAGTATAATACACACATAATGCCATGGCTAAGCTTTCTTTTGTGGCATCACTCTTTCAAGAAAGTCAATGTCCTTATTTCCTTGCTGCAGTCATATTAAATAGCTTGGTGCTTTAAAGCATGTTCAAAGGAATCATGGAAGAATTGAGGCTGGAAGGTACTTCTTAAGGTCTCCCAGCCTCACTCCCTGCTCAGATCAGATGTGATCAGAGGCAGGTAATCTGAGCAGACTCTATTAAGAAAGTTGTGGTGCCCATGAAATACTGTAGTAGACAGATGTTTTCAGTAACAGAAAGAATAAGCATTTAGTGCCTCATCCTTCAAGAGGTGAAGGGTGTGATATTTTGCTTGTAAAATGTGGAATTGGCATTTCAGGCAACACACTGCTCCAAAAGTGAAGATTTGCCCTTTTTGTCGTTATAATGTACATGCAACATTTTCACACTTTCAAAGTATTCAACAGGATGATGTTGTAATTTAATAACTTTGCACTTTTCCACGTGATACTGTAATAGCACTTTTCTTCAGAAAATTTTTCTTTCTTTTTCCAGAACAAAAATATGGAGCTGGCATCTACTTTAAAAGGAACCCCAAAAGCCTAATTGAGGGTAGAAATGTATGGGAAACAGACTCTAAGATGTACGTGTTTGAGGCTGATGTATTAACAGGCTTGTACACTGAAGGCATGTCATCCTATATTATGCCACCAGCAGTGAAGGGGGATGCCATTAAGTTATATGACAGCTTGGTAGATAATGTAAACTGCCCTGACACCTTTGTCATTTTCAACAGTATTGGGGCCCTTCCACAATATTTGTTGACTTGTTCCCAAGTGAGGCACCATGTATCAGTACAGTAGCTACTGTGAAGATCCTCTCAGAACACAGTCTAGTACTTGGATTGTAAGAGGATGCTCTACCTACTAACATGCTGTGACCACAGTGCCTCGTGCCAAGTGCAGTGAAATACTTGTGAACAAGAAGAGTAAGTCAATACCTTAAGGAGAGTAGAATAAAGTAAGTCTGCATAGAAATGGAAGGGAAAGCATAATAAAAACCAGCTTAACATTTATCTGTTTACTTTATATGCCTTAAAATGCTCTGAGCATGTGACTGTATGCTTGATGCTTGTGTAGGTTGTCATTCTCCATTACATTTCCTTAGTCTGAGATATTGCATATGTTAGTGAAACCCAAATGTGAGGTAATACTTCATGATATCTATGGACATATGTCTATGCCTGGAGATGTTCCCGTGTGATGTGCTCTAGGTGATCCTGCTCTGGCAGGGGGGTTGACCAGATGATCTTTCAAGGTCCCTTCCAAGCCCCTCAGATTCCGTGATGTCTAACACTACTTAGCTCTACAGTTTTTATTAATTAAGCGATTCCAAGCATTATAGATACATGTATTCAAAATAAAAAGTATGAATGGCACCATCAGCTAACCTGTCATTATTTCATATAGTCTTAAAGAACATGACTTGGACTGTATTTAAGCTTCAGATTCCTCAGTGGTATTCAATCTCTTTGAAAGGCTAAATAGTAATAGAGAACTGGTTCAAAGCTACAGCTTGAATTTGCTCTTCAAATCATCTACCTTTACCAATATCTTTTAAAGACTACACTGTCAACTAACTGTACATAGCCCCACACTGTCTCTATAGTGACCTAGAGCCAGTAAAGGGAAAAGCCTAAGAGCTCTCTAAAACTTCTGTTCTAAGGCCTGAAACTATGTCTGACATTAGCAGAGTTGAAAGCAAAACTATTGCCCTGAACTAAAAAGCTACTACCAGATTTGTCCAATCTGAAGCATTTAAACCCACTGGTTATGGCCCTAGCTAAACACCCAAACAGCTTATAATAGTGCTGTGATAAAGGAATAAAGGCTCATCTGTCAATATCACATCTGCTTCTAGATTGAAAAGTCACCTACGGTTAACACCATCATTACCTGGGGAGAAGTGGGACTCACATAAAACTATTAAAAAAACCTGAAGTTGTCCCACGAAAAGCATTTCATCCACGTGTGAAGCACTGTGCTAATGGAGAGCAGTTTGAACCCTAAAACACAGATGAAATTAGCATTTAATAAACTTAAAAAAATAATCTGTTATTGAATTTCCATCACATTTCTACTGCACCTGCAACTCCCAAGATAGCAGTCACAGTGCTTGGAACCACTCACAAGTCCAAAACTCCCAAAGAAATTAACTAATAAAAATCTAACTCTGAACTCTTAAGTGAGGTTAAGACCCCATCACCCTCTACCTGAAGCCCACCTGAAAGGAGGATGTAGTGAGGTGAGTGTTGGCCTCTTCTCCCTAGAGACCAGCAACAGGACAAGAGGAAAGGGATCAAGCTGTGCCAGGGGAGGTTCAGATTGGATATTCGGAAAAATATCTTCACAGAAAGAGTGGTGAGGCCTTGCAACAGGCTGCCCAGGGAGATGGTGGAGGCACTGACCCTGGAGATGTTAAAAAATCAGGTGGATGTGGTGTTTCAGGAGATGGTTTAGTGGTTGGGGGCTGTAGGGCAGACAGTTGGACTTGATGATCTTGAAGGTCTTTTCCAACCTTGATGATTCTATGATTCTAAATTGAATTTTTTTTTTAACAATTGCAAAAGTAACTTTTAACATATTTTTGTTTGTTTTAAAAATTATTTTTAAGGTTAGCTATGTCTGCATTGTTGCAGAAGGGTAACTTTTGAAGTGTGCCAGTCAATGCTGAAGTGCAACCTTAAATGGGAAACCCCTCAGGAACTTTTAAGAACCACCTCACCCATGAGTCTGATTCTCACAGAAATCCCAAGGCTGCTTATAGATAGTATGCAGGAAGTTTGAGAACAGAATGATTTCTGTCTTGTTACCTCTTGTCTATTTCCCTTTTAACTTCTCCATTTAAGCAATCCCTCTCCTCTGTTTCTGTCCCATCTTTCCTCAGGTACTGTGACACACACATTACTGCCAGGAAAACCCACAGCTGTAGATTTAAAGGGTTTTTTAGGCAGCACTGAACAAGAATAAGCTCTTATTTCAGCTTGCTTCAAGAGGTTTCATTTTTTTAAAGGAGTTTCATGGCAGGAATTAGGTTTTTTTCTGTTTTCCTTTATGAAAAGACTCAGCACAGTTTCTGAACTACTACATCAATTTCTAACAAGCAGTTAGAAAACCTCAGGTTTTCCAACTTTCAGAAAACCTCAAATAATTTATTTCCTTTTGCACAATGTAACATATTTTCTTCTACTCAGAATAAAGAACAGTTTTCATAGTGCAGTATTATTTAATACTGCTAGACAAGTACTGGTAACAATATATTTAATCAATATCCTTTTTATTAACTTTGTAACTCTTTTTAACTGCATCTCAAAACATTGGTAGTTTATATATAGCTTAATAGAAAAAATAATTACTGGGAAAATCAAATGCCCAGCACATGCTTCCTCCTCCCTCTACAAACACCTGCCATTTATAAGAATTCAGTCTTACTGAGTATTTCTCTTCCATTTTATTACAGCAATATTTTTTTCTAGTATAAGTTCACCAGTGTCCTCTGCACTTAGTGATATAATATATATTATCTGTATATATATACACATAGTCTTTAAAAAAACTTGTAATGCAAGAGGTTGTATATAATTATTTTCATCTGGTCCTCAGAAAGAATAATTCCATGTACAGAAACTAGAAAATAAACCCAGCACAAACTAGATGTACCAAGTAGTACATACTAAAAGAATTACCACAGTAATTGAAAATTCCTGATCTTAGTCCTACAGAAATCAGTCAACAAGAGGCTACTCCACAGCCTCTGGGATCTCTCTGTCAGCCACAATAAGGGTATGAATAATTCCTTCCTTTCGTTTTCCACTACTGACAGCCTTAATGCAACAGCTGTGGCCACCAACACTGAAGTGAGTTTCAGTCCCATCTTCTACAAATTCACCCTGGGAGAAAGGAGACAAGAATAAAACCAGACGTTATTTTAGTAAAATAAAAGCTTGAGTGCATCAGACTATTTCCAAGGTTAAGATCACTTATAGTTCCCACAATCAGAGCAGCTACAACAAATACAGGGCAAATGCTGCACAGAGCTGCAGAACCTCAGATAGGGCTTTGTCAAAGATGTGTGAGTATTAAATGACAATCTGTATATCCCATAAACAGAAATGGTGAAGTTGGAGTCTGTGAATTAATATAGTTGATTCATGTCAGTAAAACAAAAACAGAAAAGTTTATTTCCGAGTTGTCCAGTACAGCCAGTAAGTAACACATAAACCTACACTGAAGTGCCAGTAAAATGTGAAAGAGTTAGTGCTACCTTCTAGAGCAGGACAGAGATCCCTGAATTGAGTAGAACAGTTGTGTATTTTGGATATGTAGCTCCTGCTGCATAATTTCCTCTTGTAGATTTTGCCATGTGTGGCTGTGTGTCATGATCTTCAGGAGATCAGAAATACCTGTGTGTTGCTCTCTTGCAAGCAGAGTTTCACAACTAAAGCTGCACTCGTAGCTTGCAAGATCACCTAGTGCCTTTATGACATTGCAAAAAAGGCGGAAAACCATCAAGAGCAGAAGTTCTGATTCACTGAGAGATACTTCTCTACCAAATAAACATTTAGTGAATCTTTTCATTGTATTCTCAAGTATAGCAAAACTGATGATCATACAATTTGTACTCATCCAGGGGACTACTTGTGGCAGCAGTAATCACAGTGACAACTCTGTGGTGAGAAAGCACATCCTTCAAGGATGGGGAAACCTACACAGTATGCATATTGAAAGCCACCATAATATAAAAAGACACTGAATAGATTAAGCCCTCTAGCTCTAAAATTAATGCAGATGCGACAAAAGACAGATTACTTTGTTTCAGCAAGACTCTTAAACTCTAAGTATGAGGAACCATCTCTAGATGGAAACAAATCCTGAGTTGTAATAGACTACATGTGTTCAACTTTTAGTCACCACTTACAAAAACAGGTTTGGATGAGATGGCTCTATACTCGGCATCGAACTCAAGTCCATCCCACTCCCCTGAAATTTTTCTCCCTAAAAAACCCTGGACAACCATAAACCAGAAGATTTATCTATTTTGCTTGTCTAAAAAGTGTGAATAAAAACATACTTTATCCTTAGATAGACAGATGTCTGGCATCTTAACTGAAATGCTATTAGTTATAAAAGACAATGGAGGACATTCAGAACAGACTAATGGCATACTGGCTGTCCAGGCCCATGCTCATGCTCCGTGGTAAAGTGAGGTAACATGCCCCTCTGTGGCTTGTTCTGCTAAGCTATGGTTACCCAGCCACAGCCTGTGGAAATGATCACATACCGCTGTTTCCATTTTTTCACCGTTGCACCACACATCCATAGTGTCCTTTTCTGTGGAGGAAAAAGCATAAAGATATTTCAACCCCCTACAGAAAAGAAGACCTAGGAATTTTAGAAATTTACTGTTGAAATTGACTTTCAGTTCCCAAAATAAGTTCCTAATTAGCCATAGTATCTGAGCTATAGGGTTTGTTCTTACATTGGAGAGGTGGGAGGCTCTGTCATCAATGGGCAAAAAAATTTCCTATGGACATACATGTTTACCTCTCCCTAGCTCTGGCTACTAACACTGGGTTGTTCTGAATATTGTCAGAGATACTGATAGAATCAGATAATGGTTTGGGTTGGAAAGGACCTTAAAGATCATCTAGTTTCAAACCCCCTGGCATGGGCAGGGACACCTCCCACTAGGCCAGGTTTCTCAAAACCCCATCCAACCTGGCTGTGAATACTTCCAGGGATGAGGCACCCATAACCTTCCTGGGCAACCTGTGCCAGTGTCTCACCACCCTCACACTAAAGAA